ACTTTAACCTAGTCAGGTTCATGACGAATCCAGGGCCTATCCCGAGAAAACTGGGCACCCTGAATGCGACGCCAGTTCATCGCAGCAACCGCACTCCAGACACATTCACACACTCGATCACACATAGTGCCAATTTACCATAAACACTCCACTTATAACCTGGACCCTGGAAGAAACCTACCTCAACCCTAGTCCACAGTTTCTCTGCCACTGTGCGAATTCTTTAAATCTGGAAACATTTTAGCCCATGTCGTTTGAAAGACTGGATAGAGAAATCCATTAGCCTTAAAAAAAATAAAAGATTATGCATATATAGGAATGCGTAGAAAAAAAGAGAAAATAGACAAATATAATGAGAAAGGGTATGTCATTTTGCTAGTACAGTGCCAGCTAGATCATTTTGTGGCCTCGGTCATCATCTGTAGTTTTAGTTTATTAATACTTGACTCGTCTCTACCTGTTCAGGTTCAACCTTGCTTGGACATCAGGGAACCCCTTACCACCATCCCTGTAATGGCCTTCAGCAGGAGAAGAGGAGCAACACACCACAGCACGGGTTTTACACACCAGGTAATGATTTATTACATTTTGTCCATTTTGTACATTTTATAATAGTTGTGAGCTCAGCCTTAATTAGTATAAGAATTCGATTTACACGCTACTTTAGTAAATACAGTAGTAGAGTGCATTATTCTGACGTGTAGTTTAATTGTATGCAATTTAGGATGGAGCTAAGTTCACTGTTTCACAATTTCAGTGTTGGTGTTTCTATCTATCTATCTATTGTCGCGACGGACTGACACTCGGCGCAAGCATAAAGAGAATCGCTCCTTTTCCAACTGCCGTACCGGCACGAAGCAGGCAGCCCCGCGGTGGGCCTTGCGTCAACCGGAGAGGACGCCATGCCGGGGAGGACCCTCCGATGCCATACCGTCCGGGGATTGGAGGATCGGACGGAAGAATTCAACCACTCGCGACCCGGATGGCGGAAATAAAAGCTTTTTCCCTTCCGCCCCGGGAAAGTTGAGTACCGACATACCGAAACGATTGGCGTCCGAGAGAGATCCCCGTACAGGTATTCACCCGTACTCCCTGTTAAAAAACTGACTAATCTCTCTCTCTCTCCCTCTCTCTCTCTCTCTCCCGGTATACACTTCGGCGGAAGGCACCGACACGGAAGAGGACCGCGCCGGCCGAGACGACGCGCAGCTCTGAGGGACTGCCCGAGAACCCCGAGGCTTCTTCCGGGATTCCCCCGACACGCCCCCGCGAGCGTCACGGCGCCAGCCCAGCCCCGCAGACCTACACACACGCCCACCCGGACCTACACTCTACCCAACCAAGAATGAAGCCTGAGTTTTTTTTGCTCTACTTCCGCCTCCGTGTCTCTGTGCATCGCCCATCCCGCTACACTGGTGGAGGATGCGGGCATGAGCACAGAACCGCCCCTCACCTAAAAAGAAAAAAAGAGACTATTATTAGTGCTTTTTTCCGACGAAGAGAGGGGAAAAAGAAAAAGAGACTATTATTAGTATTTTTTTCCGACGAAGAGAGAAAAAAAAAGGAAAAGAGACTATTAGTAATTTTTTTTGTCCTTTCCGACGAAGAGAAAAAAAAAAAAAAAAATGGAGCAGACATTACAGCAGCTGTTGCAGACCAGTGTACAGCAACAGGCCGTCACCCAACAACTTACGGAAAGCCTCCAGGCAGCGACAGAGACTCTGGTGGCGCTACAGTCCCGCGCGGCCTCCACACCTCTCCCGGACCCGGGACGTGAGCTCCGCCACCTACTCCCCCCCCTGGCTCCTGATGACGACCCAGCAAAACACATTCTGTCGTGCAAAATGACAAATCTGAATGACACTGAAGCTGTGCTAGATTTAAGTTCCTAGAAAACTCCCATGCCATGGATTCCCGCCATAATTTTGTGCTCACACATCCCAACCCCAAACTAGCATTCTGCTTAGCAAAGATTAGAAACATGTGCTGTGTACCCTCAGTGCAATTGCTGTGAACAGAAATTTGGTGATATTTGTGTAATGACTATGGCTGGAGATCAGATAGTGTCTCTGATCTGCTGGGGCTTGTCTGCTGTTTGTGGAAATATATCTTGACCTATGTTTGTGGTTTATCATAGGTTGAGAATTCTAGCATGTCTCAAAAATCAGCGGTAGGAGCAGCAATCTGGCACAAACAACATGTATGCATATGCCAGATCAGCATCTGTGTAGGATGCCTATGTCTAGAATACTTTAGCTGGTGCTATGGTCTTCAAAGAGTATCTCCAGGAACCGGGTTGGTGACCAATGGTCTGGGTTTTCTTTTTCTGAATCTGACACGACAAACTGCATTTCATGGCTGGTTCAGTAGATGCCTTAATATGTCATCTATGTCCGCAGGCCATTGGCGTAAAGCTTAGCTTGAGTAAGAGTCAACAATCAGTTCAGAAAGATGGCATTTAAGACCTATGGTGCTGTGGCTTAGTTGGTTAAAGTGCCTGTTTAGTAAATAGGAGATCCTGGGCTCGAATTCCAGCAGTGCCTCATGCATGACTCTTTGTTTCTATAGCAATGTCTTCAATCCATTTGTTCCAGAGAAGAGAGAACACCAGCAAGCCTTGACTTGGTCTGTGTTGCTTTGGGTGGTGGCTTCATGGCTTGACTCAAATAAAACCTCGTGGGTTCAGATCCTGCCTCATTTGTTTGCTTTCTGACATGTTTTGCATGTAAATTTCAAATGCTATCAACAAGAACTCTTTTGTAGTTGCTTCCTAATGAATCCTGGATGCAATGCACGGACGCAAAATTGCCCATCAATCATAGAAGAGATACAGAGTGTGAATTTCTTCAGTGCCTGATAAAAGATTCTTCTGTTTGTGCAACTGCTATGCCTTTCTACAGCCTGAGATGACACACCACACAAGCAAGCCAAGATTGGTTCTGTGGGGCATTGGATGGTAAAGTCTAGCCTTGACATTGATGCGATTAAAAGCTTGTGGATTCAGGTTCGTGCTAAGTTACTTTGTTTCAGACATGTGTTATGTGTAGATTTCAAGTGCTGTCAACAGGAAAACACCTGTTTAGTAAACAAGAACAGGAAAGCGCTATGCCCTCACTGAATTTGGAAGAGCCTGAGATGAAAAACATATGCTACTTATAACCTGGGCTCTGTGGTGCAATGGAGTTGGACTTCGAGGTTCCTCCCTGGAACTACTCAAAAGTTTTTGGTTTAAGTTCCTCCAGAGTCATTTGCTTGCACATGGGTGTTGCTTGTTAGTTTTAGTATAGGGTATCCTGTTGAATATGGATATTCCCTACTCTTCATCTTAGATAGAACGCTTTGTTGGCCCCAGGTGAAAACATTGTCATCAAGTTCCCCATGTTTCTACTCATTGGTCTTCAAAGGAGTATCTCCAGGAATAGGGTTGGTGACCAATGGTCTGGGTTATCTTTTTTTGAATCTGACACGACAGAATGTGCATTTCGTGGCTGGTTGAGCAGATGCCTTCATATGTCTTCTATGTCTGCTTGCCGTTGGCATACAGCTTAGCTTGACACTGCATTTACACACCATGGTGCTGTGGCTTAGTTGGTCAAAGTGCCTGTCTAGTAAACAGGAGATCCTGGGTTCAAATCCCAGCAGTGCCTGATGCAGGAGCCTTTTGTTCTTTCAAGACCAATGCCTTCCATCCCTTTGTTACAGAAAGGAGTAAACACCAGCAAGCGCAGATTGGTGAATGCTATGCCCTCAGTCAATTTGGAAGAATCTGAGAGAAAACACCTTTGCTACTTAACACCTTTGTTTCTTGTTATCTTGGCTCTGTGGCGCAATGGATAGCGCATTGGACTTCTAGATTCAAGTTTGGAGCTATTCGAAGGTTGTGGGTTCAAGTCCCTCCAGAGTCATTTGCTTTCAGGTGGAGAGGTTTGTATTTTTTTTCTATACGAGACAGGGTATTTTGTTGAATATGGCAATTCCTTACTCTCCATCGTTCATGGAATGCTTTCTTGGCCCCTGTTGAAAACAACTTCATCAGGGTCCCCATGTTTCTACTCATTTGGACAAATTGACACTGAAACTGTGCTAAATTTAAATACCTAGAAAATACCCATGACATGGGTTCATGCCATAATTTCATGCCATAATTTGTGCTCACACATCCAAACCCCATACTACCACTCTTCTTAGCCAATATTACCAACATGTGCTGAGTACCCTCAGAGCAATTATGTCAACAGAATGTTGCTGATATGTTTGTAAAGACTATGGCTGGAGATCAGATAGTACTTTGCTTGTATTTTCTCTTTGGTAAGTCGCTTTGGATAAAAGCGTCTGCTTAATGAATAAACGAAAATGTAATATTTGATCTCCTGTGGCATGTGTGCTGTTTGTGGATAAATATCTTGACCTATGTTTGTTGTTTATCAGAGGTTGAGTACCATAGCATTCCTCAAACCCATGGTAGGAGCAGCATTCTGGCAGAAACAAGAAATCTACATATGCCAGATCAGCATCTGTGTAGGATGCCTATGTCTAGGCTACTTTAGATGAAGCTAAGGTCTTCGAAGGAGGAACTCCAGGAACAGGATTGGTGACCGCTGGTCTGGGCTGTCTTTTTCTGAATCTGACACCACAGAATGTGCATTTCATGGCTGGTTGAGTAGATGCCTTAATATGTCTTCTATGTCTGCATTCCGTTGGCATACAGCTTAGCTTGATTAAAAGTCAACAATCAGTTCAACAACACTGACCTTCAACACCATGGTGCTGTGGCTTAGTTGGTTAAAGTGCCTGTCTAGTAAACAGGAGATCCTGGGTTCAAATCCCAGCAGTGCCTGATGCAGGAGCCTTCTTTTCTTTCAAGACCAACGCCTTCCATCCCTTTGTTACAGAAAGGAGTAAACACCAGCAAGCGCAGAATGGTGAGTGCAATGACCTCGCTCAATTTGGAAGAATCTGAGAGGAAACACCTTTGCTACTTAACACATTATTGTTACCTGGTCTCTGTGGCACAATGCATAGCGCATTGGACTTCTACATTAGATATTGGAGCTATTCAAAGGTTGTAGGTTCAAGTCCCTCAAGAGTCATTTGCTTTCAGGTGGAGGGTTTTGCTGATTTTTTCTATTCGAGAGAGGGTATTTTGTTGAAAATGGCAATTCCCTAGTCTCCATCTTAGATGGAATGGTTTGTTGGCCCCTGTTGAGAACAAGGTTATCAGGGTCCACATGTTTCTACTCATTTGGCCATAATGACACTGAAACTGTGCTAAATTTAAATACCTAGAAAATGCCCATGACATGGGTTCATGCCATGATTTGTGCTCACACATCCAAACCCCAAACTAGCATTCTTCTTGCCCAAGATTACCAACATGTGCTGAGTACGCTCAGAGCAGTTATGTCAACAGAATGTTGCTGATATGTTTGTAAAGACTATGGCTGGAGATCAGATAGTACTTTGCTTGTATTTTCTCTTTGGTAAGTCGCATTGGATAAAAGTGTCTACTTAATGAATAAACGTAAATGTAATATTTGATCTGCTGTGGCTTGTGTGCTGTTTGTGGATAAATATCTTGACCTATGTTTGTTGTTTATCAGAGGTTGAGGATCCTAGCATTCCTCAAACCCGCGGTAGGAGCAGCATTTTGTCACAAGCAGATCAGCATCTGTGCCAGATCAGCATCTGTAGGATGCCTATGTCTAGACTACTTTAGATGGAGCTAAGGTCTTCAAAGGAGGAACTAAAGGAACAGGATTGGTGACCACTGATCTGGGCTGTCTTTTTCTGAATCTGACACCACAAAATGTGCATTTTGTGGCTGGTTGAGCAGATGCCTTAATATGTCTTCTATGTCTGCATTCCGTTGGCATACAGCTTAGCTTGATTAAAAGTCAACAATCAGTTCAACAACACTGAACTTAAACACCATGGTGCTGTGGCTTAGTTGGTTAAAGTGCCTGTCTAGTAAGCAGGAGATCCGGGGTTCAAATCCTAGCAGTGCCTGATGCAGGAGCCTTCTTTTCTTTCAAGACCAACGTCTTCCATCCCTTTGTTACAGAAAGGAGTAAACACCAGCAAGCGCAGATTGGTGAGTGCAATGCCATCACTCAATTTGGAAGAACCTGAGAGGAAACACCTTTGCTACTTACATTTACATTTATTCACTTAGCAGACGCTTTTATCCAAAGCGACTTACAAATAAGCAAAGCGATATATCAAGCAGGGAACAATACAAGTAGTGCTACTATACAAGATCCATTAATTGAATACCAGAGGAAGCAAAGTCTACAGAGTAGAAGTGTAAGTGCATTGTCTGTGGGTTGTTTTTTTTTTGTTTTTTTTTAGGAGTTGGTTAGGTGTTCACGGAAAAGGTGGGTTTTTAGCTGTTTTTTGAAGATAGTGAGAGATTCTGCAGTCCGGATTGAGGTCGGAAGAGCATTCCACCACTGGGGAACGGTATGCATGAAGGTTCTGGAAAGGGACCTTACGCCTCGCTGAGTGGGAACTACTAAACGTCGGTCGCTAGTCGATCGCAGATTGCGAGAGGGAATGTATGCCTTCAGGAGAGAGTTGAGGTAGGAGGGTGCTGTTCCTGACAAGGTCTTGTAGGTGAGCATCAAGGCCTTGAACTTGATGCGGGCAGCTACAGGAAGCCAGTGGAGGGAGATGAAGAGGGGTGTGACATGAGTAGTCTTGGGCTGGTTGAAGACAAGGTGCGCTGCAGCATTCTGAATCATTTGAAGGGGTTTGATGGAGCTGGCTGGGAGGCCTGAAAGAAGGCCTCCGCTCCATGATACCTTGAAGGATCTGTCCGAAAAATAGGATTCCAACCAGCGTAGAACCGTTCCAGTGATGCCAAGGTTGGAGAGAGTTGATAGGAGGATCTGATGGTTCACAGTGTCGAAGGCAGCAGAGAGGTCAAGTAGTATGAGGACAGATGATCTAGAAGTTGCTCTTGCTAGTCGTAAGGCTTCAGTGACAGAAAGCAGAGCAGTCTCCGTGGAATGGTTGCTCTTGAAGCCAGACTGCTTGGTGTCTAGGAGGTTGTTCTGTGTGAGAAAATTGTAGAGTTGATTAAAAACGGCTCTTTCGAGAGTTTTGGAAAGAAAGGGGAGGAGGGAAACAGGTCTGTAATTGTCAACTATAGAAGGATTGAGTGATGGTTTTTTAAGCAGTGGGGTAACCCGGGCTTGCTTAAATGAGGTAGGGTATGTGCCAGTAGAGAGCAATGTGTTAAAGATGTGTGTATGTGCAGGTAATAGTGTGGGAGAGATGGATTGAAGAAGTTGAGAAGGGATAGGGTCAAGGGGACAGGTTGTGGGACGGCTAGAGAGGAGGAGTTTAGAGACTTCAGTCTCTGAGAGGGGAGAGAAGGAAGTCAGTTGGGAGGTACATGGAGGAGGAGTTGGTCTATGCATGTCTGGGGTTGAGAACTGGTTCCTAATTGACGTAACCTTGCTGGAAAAGAAACTTGCAAAGGCATCAGCACGACAAAACAGAAAGGAAAAGAACCACACACACACACACACACACACACACATACATACATACATATATATATATATATATATATATATATATATATATAAATTGCATTTAGGACTGTAGTTTAATTCGGTGCTTTTTGTGAATCCATAAAATAATAATGCATATGTAATATATAATATAATCCATCCATCTTCAACCGCTTATTCCATCTTCAGGGTCGTGGGGAACCTGGAGCATATCCCAGGAGGCATCGGGCACACGGCGGGGTACACCCTGGACAGGGTGCCAATCCATCACAGGGCACAATCACATACACACTCACACACCCATTCATACACTATGGACAATTTATTTAATCAACCTACCATGTATTTTATAATATAAATGTTAACTAACTTAATATTATATTTATATATATATATATATATATATATATATATATAGCACACATTTATAAATAGTTAGATAGATAGCATTATTTTTATGGATGTACAAAAAGCACAGAATTAAACTCCATAATAATAATAATAATAAGAAGCAGAAAAAGAATAAAGGGTGTTAAAATAAGTAAAATAAATATAAAGTGTGTTTTAGGCAGCGCTGCTCGGTGATTATCTCCTTTTATTTTCAGATTGTTACTGAGGTTCTGTTTTCCACATACAAAGCTTGGCTGTGTTGGAAGCCACCAAAGAGACTTCCTGGCTGTCATGTGGAAGGTAAGTGGGCTGGGATATGTTGTCCTCCATCAGCTGACCTAGCCAGAATGCTTGTCATGTTTTTATGTATTGATTTAATTTCTGTTAGACAGCCTCATGATTTACCGAACATGTTTTTTTTTGTTTTGTTTTTTTAGGTCAAAAGGGTTTCTGGCCATGGTGCTTGTGCTGCAGTGATCTTGTTCTCCATCATCACTCCAACACAGGTAGCCACCTTCACCCTCTCCCAAGAGATGATGGTAAGACCCAGAATAAATACTCATATTATTATAAATGAAGTATGACTGTGTCTTGTAGTCCATCCACCAACCTTTTTCTATTCAGTGGTCTGACTTGTGCTACACAGTGGTGAGTCCAGTTATGCTGCAAGAAGTGTAAGTATAATGGGGTGGACCAATGGGAGGAGAGGTTCTTCCTGTGGAAGCTGCTGATCTCGCTTCTTTCAGCATAGCTCCTGGTCTCAGAACAGGTTTAGTTCATTGTTGCTGGTGAAGTGTAGAGGATGTTATATTCTGAAAGTCACAACTGTCCCTGCTCAAGGTCTTGTGAAATATTTGACCTTATTTGTGACTATATTCACTGTGTTGATTTCAGCGGTTACTACATTAGTGTCCTTAATTTTTTTACTATTTAAAGATTGTTTTAAAGTTTATTACCGGCTCAATGAATGTTCTTGTCCTTCAGTAGAAGATAAAGGCCCGGTTTCACCGACAGGGCTTACATACTTAAGCCAGGATTAGGTCTTCGATCAATTAGGACATTTCAGTAGCTTTTCTAAACGTGTCTTAGAAAAACATATTTCTGGTGTGCATCCTGAGACAAAACCATGCCACTGGCGTGTTTTAAGATGCGTCCGTGGAAGTAGCTTTCAGTTAAAACAGCTCAAACATGCATTTTAATCTGTGACTAGGCTTAAGTCTGTGAAACCAGGGGAAAAAAGAAGAAGGGTGTAATTGATTATGCTCTCTGCAGAATATGACAGAAGAAATGTCACCCACATCTATAACTATAAAAAGCAGGTAGAATTGCAGTTAGCATGAAACCTCAAATGTGTAGCAGGGCTGGAAATTAATTTTTGTATGTATAATTTTTTTTATTACTGATGGACAAGCAAACAGATTTAAAGGCTGTTATGCATGATGGGTTACAGAAATGTCTTCCTGTGTTTATTATTTTAAATATATTCTGATTTGTAAGCAAGATTATGAAGTCTCCTTTTGCTAATCATTTTAGGGCATTATTAAAAAGTCCATGTACACAATGTTTATCCTGAGTGCCTTTTTCATGTATTTTATTATCCTGCACAAAACGACATTTTTTAGAGATGCCAATCGGTTAATGCTAAATAACATATGCTGAAATTTTAAATATCGACGTTAAAACTCTGAAATGAGGGCCTTATCCCTATATTTTTGGCTAGGATCCCACAAATCACTAAATCTGTCCCTGTCCTAACCACTACACCACCACATAGGACACAAGTTTTATTTTATACATTTCAAAAATATCCACTTTATTTAAAAATACATTTGTATGAGTTGCATTTTTAAACTATAATATTTGTGATTTTATGTGAAACGGTCCCCAAACTATTTTTGCACCACGGACCGGCTTAATATCAGGCGATATTTTCACGGACCGGCCTTTAAAGTGTGGTGGATGAATACAACAAAATAAAATGATATGACTGGCATAAAAACTGGGGTATTTAAAAAAATATATATAATAATAAACATGAATCCAATGTGAAATCGCAACTTTATTAGCAGCATCCCGGTAACATCACGCCAACAACATAACACGAGTAACATCCGCTCTGCCCCTCTAACGCTTAACATATCACATGACCGAGTAACACATCACGTGACCGAGACAAGCGAAGT